CAGAATGTGCTGTCTTTGTTCCCCCAGTTTCAGTAGAAGACACTGGAGTAGCACTGGAAAAGCACTGGAAAAAAATCTGGGTATTTTCATGAGCTTCAACTTTAGAAAATTGACTTTTAAAGAATGACAATCAAACCCCATTGTTTTGTACCCAATTACAGTGTGGTGCCTAGTGGAAAGACATATTAAAATCAGAGTACATGGGGCTCACACTGTCCAGTTTTTCATAAAAACTTGTATTTTATCTGATGGATGCCCGTTTCTTTTTCTTCAATTGTTGAATAAGGGAAATAACATTTGCATCTGCCATTGTTAGGGATAATATACAATTTTTTTTCATTCTTTGTTACTTCCCTCTGCTGTGTGTTTTTATGGGGTTACCTGGGACATGGAGCTCTGGGTCAACCCTAATGTAAGATAATAGATGCAGGGGACACAGCTTAGTGAATAGTGTCCTCATGTTACTCTTTGTTACTTAGATCCTGATATAAATCTTTAAGGATCTATAACACCTGGAAATTGATGTGTCGCTCATGGATACACTTCTCATTGGACACTATTTGGAATGATTTAAATTTTGCTTTGAGAAATCCCAATCACCAGCTGATCCATTTTAACTTAATTCCTAGGACAACATCTATTGTCTCGGAGTCAGTTTCAATGCATATTACTGATTCCCCAAAGTGCACACTGTGTTCCCAGGGAGTCATAGGCACACTCTCTCCTGTAGTCTGGGAAAGCACTGATATTTTAGAGTTTTGGGGAAAGGTGTGTGCAACACTGTCCACACTGTTGAAGCAGAGTGCTCCTTACTCCCCTCTGGTCTTATTGCTGAACAACCACTTCTATACTGACTGAGCAGCACTACAGAAAAGGGTCTAGCTGGCATTACTGCTGTGAAGACAGTGATTGAGACAGATGGAAAACAGACAAGAGAAAGAAAGAGGCAAAGTTAAAGAGGAACAAGAGAGTGAGGAGCAAGTTTAAACCTGCGAGACACGAAAATGAGAGGGGAAGCTTTTCTTACAAGATCAGGCATCTTATATTTCTCATCACAGTTTTATTACGGGGAAGGTGAGACACAGTGGGATGAAGAAGACTGTAGAAAGATGTGTCTGAATACAGAGCACTGAGTGGAACTTTTCTTTCTATTTAATTCCCACTTGCTCCTAATCAAAATCATGACCCCACCTGCAATATTGATCCACACCTCACTCAGAGGTTCCAAGCTCTCAGACAGGGTTTTAACTCTTGGTATCAAAGTAGTATTGCAAAATTCTGCAAATTTCAGTTCAAAATCATGAACTAAGTGAAAGTACTGCATGGTTACCATGTTGGTGAAGGAAGATGAGAATCTGCTGGTCTCACCCCTGGCGAGAGCAAGAGTTTGCGAGGATTGTGATATAAATCTGGCCCTTCCTGCTCACTAGTCAACGTAAGCAAACAAGAGGCCAAAACTTGAAAATGAATATGAGTGTGTTTTAGTTGGTTGGCAGATTGTTCTTTTTTTCAATACTGTATGGCCTGCTTGCTGTGAAGATTAAAGATCTCTCCAAGCCCATTGTTTCTCATTTCACCTCTGACGGCCACGACCACTCTAATCTCTCCGTCTGTGTTCTCAAAGACGGAGAATACATTAGAAAGACTACCGAAACCAAAATGATTCTGCAGCTAGGATCACACCTTCTCCCTTCTCTTAACGACAGACTACTGTTCTTTTAAATTTTCTCCATTCATTTGGTTTCATTTCACACCTCTCTACACCTATTCTGACTTCACACCTCTTGATTGGCCTCTCTTTCTGTCCCCTGCTCCCGCCTCTCACTCCTCCTGCCTCCCAGCCTTTGCTCTCCCGCTACATTACCTTTGCCTACTGCCTTGTCTCTATCACACCTGAAGAAGGCTCCATGGCCGAAACGTTGTGTTCTCTTTCTTCTTTTTTTCAGCATGGAATAAACCTATTACTTGTGACTATATATTATGTGCTTGGAAAGATTGGACATGCTGACATAACACTGATGAAAGTGTACATACAGTATACACGTACACTACATTGCGGACAGTATATGTACGTGGTGTAAGTGTATATGTAGAAGGACACATCTTAATGTGCAAAGTTATTGGCAGGTGATGTTACAGGAATACCTGTAATTATTTGAAGAGGATTCAATCTAATAGACTCTTAGACTTATGGAGAACAGTAAACCCTAATGTGGAAGACTTGTCATGTTATTCTATATCATGTGGAAAGCTTTCTAGCAGGATGTGACACAACTGAGCATCTGCTGCACACTAAAACATAAATTAATTTTAATCATAATTAATCAGGTTATTTTTTACAACTTACAAGTCACCTCCAATATCTTCTAAAACAAACCATGAGACCGAAACAGACAAAAAGTTTTCTTTCACCGTAGTA